ACAGGTAGTCGATTATCATGGTAACAATTTCATAAAGTTACTTAGTCAATTTTGGAGAACTTTATTTGCTTTCACAATTTTGTACCGTAATTGTCGCCGTCGACGAAGATCGGGCGCGACGTACTAGTATTTTCATGTATACAATGGCACTCATGGCTAGCAGACTTATTTTACTCTTACATGTACATGTACATGTACACTTGAAAGTCTACCACAAGTTTCATGCATCGCGCTTGAAAGTTCATGCGGCGGAGAAATGGGTTGGCCCAGCTTGATGCGATCTCGACGCTGCCGCCGTGCCCCGACAAAAGGCCCCTTGCCGCCCCCATCACCACCCGGCGGTTCACCACGCCCCCAGCCTTCCTCAGGTTACGGACGTAATCTCCCATCTGCTCATCCAGCTCTCCCAGCTTCAGCGGCCTCCCCACGTTTCGGCGTGGCAAGTTCTCAACATTGTCCGCGCCCAGCCGTTGCTTCTCCTTCACGTAGCTTGTCTTGATGGATCGCACTGTACTCTCGTTGATCTGGCGGCCAGTTTCCTTGGACAACTGCCGAGCTGCCTTAGAGGCTCCGATGTCCAGACACAACTTGGCGATGTTGGCTCGCATCTCGGGGCTGTAGTTCCCGTAGTTGCCCCTCTTTCTTTTCCGGCTCCCGGACTCCGCCATGACTCTCTCGACTTCTCTGTTGGNCCCGACAAAAGGCCCCTTGCCGCCCCCATCACCACCCGGCGGTTCACCACGCCCCCAGCCTTCCTCAGGTTACGGACGTAATCTCCCATCTGCTCATCCAGCTCTCCCAGCTTCAGCGGCCTCCCCACGTTTCGGCGTGGCAAGTTCTCAACATTGTCCGCGCCCAGCCGTTGCTTCTCCTTCACGTAGCTTGTCTTGATGGATCGCACTGTACTCTCGTTGATCTGGCGGCCAGTTTCCTTGGACAACTGCCGAGCTGCCTTAGAGGCTCCGATGTCCAGACACAACTTGGCGATGTTGGCTCGCATCTCGGGGCTGTAGTTCCCGTAGTTGCCCCTCTTTCTTTTCCGGCTCCCGGACTCCGCCATGACTCTCTCGACTTCTCTGTTGGCAGCGGCGGTCATTCTGGGGTTCTCGGTCTCGACAGGCTTCGGCAAGCCTGGCGTGGCGGAAGGCTCCATGGACGGATTGGCAGTCGGGGATCCTGTGTTCTCGTACTTCGATCCTTCGGTGGTAGAAGGCGGCAAGGACGGATTCGCAGTCTTCAACCTTCAACCACTTCAGCATGATGTTCGCTCGTCCCAATCTCCAAACAGGAATGAGAACACCAAACCGAATCGATACTTATACTGTATCGTTATGTTGTCTGTCTGCATTTTATCATGACAAAAGAAATCTATGAGGTCGCACCGACGGAAAGTGATTAAAGCCGTCGGGCCGACATATTCATGTACTGTGTTCTGAGTGCTGTATTGTTAGAACCGCGCGTACCCTACGATGGGAAATGATTGAAATCGTCGGGCTGACATATTCATGTCCAAGTAGTCTGTATTTCCCGACTGCTGCATTATTGTAACCGAGTTATCGAGGCTTCAAACTTGAGTGCATTACTTTACAATGGGCACTATACGGACACTACAGGACACCATAATGGCATAACGTGGCCGGCATAACCCGTAGTTATTAGAGAATAACCTAATTGCCTAATTAAAATCTACTTATTCTCTAATAACCACGGGTAATTAGTAGATATCAATTTGTGCAAACGTACTTTTGTAGCTTTGACCATTATGCACATGAAAATCATATTTTTATTCCAGTCACTTGTACCAAAGTGCTATATTATAACTTTAAAGATAATTACATTTGGGGCAATAAAATGTGATGACGTCATCGATATGGTCCATAAAATCATATTCATAACCTTTTTGTACCCAGGTAGAATGGCAATGAAACACAGCTGTATATACGTGTGAGACCTTGAACGTCAAAATTACCATATCAGACGAACATAGAGCTTTTACACAATCTCAGTGACAACTTGCCTTGCTCTTTTACACATTCAGCATTGTGGTGTAGCCTTTTTAACGTGATTTTTATTGAGTCTGACAGACAACTTAAAAGAGATAAAGCACCTGGTCTGAACTTGTGCCTCAAGGTTCACCTCTACCACACAAAGCAGCCTTTACGCCCCGGGATATCCCCCACAGCTATCCCCGTAGTCACTACACGCACAGGGGGCTAAAAATAGAAAGTCGGGCTAGATACTGGCGGTTGGCGGATCAACCAATCACAGGCCGCCGTGGCACAGGTGCACCCAAGGATATGGGCCAATAAAGACTGCTTACCGGATGTCATGTACTGTACAACACAAAAGACGTTGTGAAGTACAAGGGGAATGTGCATCCTTGGTTATTCATATTTACCTTCGCCAAGAATTGGAGAAGGTTATGTTTTCCTGGCCGTGTGTCTGTCTGTGTGTCTGTGTGTCTGTGTGTCAACAGCATAACTCGAGAAAGCTTAGATGGATTATCTTGATATTTGGTAGGTGGGTAGGTCTTGATGAGAGCTCGAACTGATTAGATTTTGTGCCCCCTGGCGGCTTGTCATGGTACTGCAGCTTAACTTCCGGTTTTGATATCTCATGATCCAGACATGCTAGGGTGACGAAATTTGGATGGCAGGTAGCTCTTGTGCTGGGGAAGAAGTTTGGGCCCCCTAGTTGCTTGCTCTAGAACTGCAGGGGGGTTTTAAGGACAAATGTTTAAAGGAGGATAACTCATGAACCGATAGATGGATCATCATGATTTTTGGTATGTAGGTAGCTTGAGTAATGCTTGACATAATGATATTACAATTATGCAAATATGGATGTAATTTGCATAATTAATGATGAAATTCTATTAATCAGCTGCATTCCATGATAGGTAGTTCAAGCTTGCGACATATGATATTAACAACGAGAGAAACACAGGCAGATATCGATTATGCAAATTAAGACTTAATTTGCATAATTAATGAGAAAATGTTATAATTGCATAGTGGTAACTGCCTGGAATTTTATACTTGGGGTGTTTGAAGTTTAGTGAAGGTGAACATAATTTAACATAACTTATTCAAATAAGGACCTCATTTGCATAATATATGAGGAAATGCTATAATGGCATTCTTTGTTAAAATAAGACTGTTGGTGGAGATTATGATCAACAGATATAATTAATGCAATTGCGGATCCTATTTGCATAATCAGGGGGATTAATACATTGTATATAAGTTATTCATAAAAGCTAACATCATTTGGCGAAGGTATGAGATCGTGGAACTCTAGTTGTATGTATTATCCGATTATACGTAGGTCGAAGTGAAGGTGAGACACGAGTGATTGCATTAAATAACAACACCGGGGCACTTATTTTGTTATCGAACACTACTCTAGGATACAGGAGTTTTTTTTTTCTCAACGAAGATTTCTCACCTGAGTCCTGACCTTTCGGTGCCTATCAGACACCTTCCTCAGAGCTTCTGACTGGAGTTCTGCTTCTCGCCGCTATCTGTAGCCGATGTAGGTGGCGCTTTTGCGGAGAGAACACAATCCCAGTCAGAACTCCAGTCAGAAGCTCCGAGGGGGAGGTGTCTGATAGACACCGAAACGTCAGCACTTAGGCCATGTTGATTTGATTATATGGATGGCATCCACGCGCATGGAATTCGGCCGTTTCCGAAAAAAACGTTTTCAACCATATTGTAAATCGTTTAAAACAGTTGCAAAATGAGAAAATATGTTCCCTTGCTAAAAGAATTAAAATATTGGAAAACGATACCTATGTCGTAGAATCCCAAAATGAAACGAAATGACAAAAATGTAAAGAAATGAATTTGAAGCGTAGCTTATTCGCCATACTATACCATGTGTCATTTGTTCAATATTAATGACCATGTAGATTTCATAATGAAGGCAACTTTTTGTTTCTGCCAAACGTTTTTCTTATTCGCACACGCGCATCAGTTTTGGGGTTCCCAGAGGATGTCATCCATATTATCAAGTCAACATGGCGGTAGGTGAGAAATCTTTACTCTCCAAGCAGAGGTTTGGGTTTGGGGTTATTTCTAGCGTGTTTCTAGGCTTTTTTTTTATCGGGGTTTCTCTTTTGCACTGAATTTTTTTCCACTGAATTTTTTTTGGGTTTGGTGGAAAAAAAATTCAGTGCAAAAGCAAAACCCCGATAAAAAAGCCGAAAAACATGCTAAAAACATCCCCAATCCCAAATCTCTGCTTGGAGAGTAAGAAATCTTGGTTGTGTAAAAGAAAACTCCTGTATCCTATACTTAACCAACCTGATGAAACTATTTTCAGGAACTCTACTCTGTAATTGGCTCAGTCTGATTAAGGAAGAGGGGAAGAGTAGCTGAGGACTTTGGGGAGTTCAAAACATACTACATGTACTAGTTCCAAAAAATACTACTAGTTAAACTGTTTACATACTCTTTAGCACAGGGTAGGAGTTACCTTTCTGAACCAGGTTTGAATGGTAATTTTCAGCTAAAAATCACAGACTTTTCCACTGCTCAACTTCAGTCTTTGTCAAAGAATACCCGATATTCATTGACAAAGACTGAAATTGAACAGTTGAAAAGACCACGATTTTCAGTAGGAAATTACAGTTCGAACTTGTTTCAGACTCAGAAGTGACTCCTGCACAGATGAAACTTCAGGCTAGGAATTACCTTTCCCGTTACGTATGTCAAGATTACTCATCCAGGGTATAGGTAGTAACAGTAAGATAATATTTCAGACTTTTCCAACTGGGGAAAAAGTTTTAATAAGCAAAACTTATTGCTTATTAAAACTTTTATCCGGTCAGAAAAGTATGAAATACTATCTTACTGTTACTGCCTTTTCTCGTTGTAAAGTGGGAAAACGAATTACTTCAAAATTAAAGTTTTCAACCTAAACGCCTGTACTGCTACCGTATCTACTTGCATTTACACATAATAATCACAGACAAGTCGTCGTACATTTTCAGCCTTTTATTTTGATGTACTGGGAGCAGGAGGAGGGTCCACCAGGACGAGGGTGTGCTGCCCGCCCACGCTGATGGTCTGCAGTGGGCCGGGCAGTCCCACCATGGGGACAGGAGACGCAACTTCTTGGACTTCTTCTCCAAGACAGAGTTGGTTGGAGACCCCTGATCCCCAGGCGTATCCACGGCCTGCAGAAAATAAAGAAACAAACACATCAGACAGGGTAGAAATCTAATCTATACACAAACAGGATAGAAATCTGTACACTCATGTAAGTGGAATCACACCGACTTGGACTGTCTCGTCTCTTGTTTGTGTAGTACAATGTGACATGCATGCTACAACGAAGGTACAATTTGTGTAGTACAACGTGACATGTTACAAGGTACAATTTGTGTAGTACAATGTGACATGTTACAAGGTACAATTTATGTAGTACAATGTGACATGTTAAGCTAAGGTCCCAATTACGCCGGTGCCCGTCAGGGATGTAGCCCCGGCTGGCTCCGGCCGGGTTCAGGAGTCGAGCGGGCATCGGCTGTCGTGGTCACAATTAAAAGTTTCCTTCAGTAGCATTTTGTTAGAAATTTTGTCACCCTCTTTGGTCGGTATCCGGCAGGCACCCGGCAGGTACCCAGCAGATTCTCTGACGATGTCTTGTATTGACCTATACGTAATGCAGAATTCACGTATTTGTTGTGATCATTTGATCTGTGAGGTCACACATTTTACCCGGGTTTACGAAGTACACACCTTTATTCTGTTCATCTGGTCTGTGACGTAAGAAATGTGTCCCGGTGGAATGCCGGCAACCGGAGGGGTACCTCTCGGTGTTCTCACGATGAGGTCACGGCGTCTTTTTGTCAGCGGGGCCCGGGTAGAATTTAACTCAGAATTAAATTCTTCT